GGGAGCGTCTACAGTGAACACAAGAGCCAGCAGGTGCCTGTTAGCTCTTTCCTCTCGGGAGAGGATCAGACAACGGAGAGAATGCACAAAACAGAGAGAATCAGGAGAAAATGGGTTAGGGTCAGGGTCAGGGGTCAAGGGTCAAGGCTGAAAGGTCAAGGATCTCTCCATTTTCTCCTGATTCCCCGTTTTCTGCGTTCTCGTGCTTCTCTCCTGATTTCCTCTGTTCTCCGCGTTCTCTCTGTTTTGCTCACCTGGCAAACACTTATTGAGCACCGACTGCACGCTGGGCCCTGGGGGCGGCACCGTGAGCACCTCCTCACCTACCAACAGGCAGGACCCAGCAGGTGCCGGGCGCAGGGTGTGCAGAAAGCCTGGCCGGGCGGCTCTGGGACCCTGACTGTGACAGCCAGGAGCCCCCTCCCCAGGGCTGCCAGTGAAGATGGCCACCTGTTGCCAGGCAACGGGAGCACTGTCGGGAGGAGAGCTGGTCTTCTGGAGCCTTCTCCAGGCCCCCTCCTGGGAAGGGCTCGGGCATGGCCCTCAGTTCCACGTCCCCCTTCCGGGCGCCTCCCAAATGCTGAGGTCTGGCCACCGGGTCAGAGGCGAGGAGGGGGTGTGGGGAGCGGGAGGCCTGGCTGCAGGGCCTCAGTGGGGCTCCCTCCTCATTAAGCCTCGGTCCCCACGCTGTAGGTGGACTCGCAATCCCACAGTGTGGGGGCGAACAGAACGCAGCCCAGCGCCCGGCCAGCTCCCACCCCTCTGGTTCCCCAGAAAGGGCGCTGCTTCCTGGGGAGGAGGCGGAAAACTGGGTCACGGATGAAAGGGACGGAGAGAGTGTGGGGAAAGGCAGAGCCCATCGCGGGCAGGCGCTTACCCAGAATATCATCAAACACCCAGTGAGTCAGGGAGAGGAAACCAGGACGTCCGTCAGCTGGAGGCACGGCCCCTGTGGACCGTCCGCCTCCCTGGCCCACGTCAGGGTCTCCGTGCTCCCGCCCTGTGTCCCCGCCTCCTGACCTTCACACCTGGTCTAATCCGGCCCCTCGTCCTTACATGAGGGCGGTACCCAGTGACTTGAATAGACAAAAGTAAAGGGCATCGGGCTGCAATTAGGTTACAAAGGTTTCCAGGATTAGGTCAGTGGGTCGGTCTCTCTCCCTCTCTCTCTCTCTCTCTCTCATCCCTCGCCCTGGGCAAGCAGGGTGCCCTCTGGGCACCGGGGGCCAGGGGCAGGGAAGCCAGAGGGGAGAGCGGGTCTTGCACAGTGTGCTTGCCAGGGCCTGGAAACCTTTTCTCAAAGGACCGCGTGTAAGACACTAAATACTTCTGGCTTTCTGGGCCGCGTGGTCCCTGGGACAGGACCCGCTGAGCTCCTGGAGAGGGAACCAGACACGGCTCTGTTTGAATGGACAGGACGACACGGCTCCTGGAGAGGGAACCAGACACGGCTCTGTTTGAATGGACAGGACGACGCGGCTCCTGGAGAGGGAACCAGACACGGCTCTGTTTGAATGGACAGGACGACGCGGCTCCGGCCTTTTCCTCCGCAGTGTCTCTCCGTCAGTGCCATCTGGAGCTGCTAAGGTTTTATTGCAAAAACACTTTATTTACCAAACAGGCAGCCTGCAGATTTGGCCCCAGGGCTGCCGCTCCCTGGCCCCTGCTGGAGGTGTGAAATGTCAGTGTGTTCAGCTGCTGTAACAGACGCCACACTCTCCTGTCAGCTCTGGGGGCCGGAAGTCGGGGACAGAGGTGCCGGCAGACTGGGTGTCTGGCGAGAGCCCTCGGCTGCCGTGTGTCCTCAGGTGGTGGAGGGCAGGGAGCACTGTGGCATCTCTTTTGTGAGGGCACTAACCCCATTCGTGAGGGCCCCACCCTCCTGACCTAATCACCACAGGCCCCACCTCCTGACACCATCACATTGGGAGTCAGGGTTCCAACCTGTGAGCTGTGGGGGTGACACCATTCCGTCAATGGAAGGAGGAGGGCCATCCAATGTTGTTAATAAAAAATTTTGAGAGAAACAGGTTGCCAGACAGAAGCGGCCTGACCTCGTCGCCCACGTGTTCACGGAGCGCTAACTCGGTGCCTGGCGCAGTCCTGGGCCCGGGGACCTGGCTCTGCGATGAGACGGGAGGGTCCCCCAGGCTGGCTGTCTGAGCAACCATGTGTGGTAAGGACTCAGGGTTGGAGACAACTTATAGGAAATTAATTCAAATAGATCTGCCTGGGAAAAAGCTGGGGGACAAAAATAGACTGTTAGCAGTTTATGTCTGGATCTTTATTTTCACTTGCTTATCTCCATTTTTTTTTAATTTTTCAACAGGGAACATGTGTTATTGTTTCCTGTAAAATGTCAACAAAATATATGAAGTGTGGGGAACTCATTTCCTGCATCTGGGCGCCCTGCCCTCCCCGCCGGCCCCGCCCGGGTCCCTGGGCCCTTGTGGTCTGGGTGGTGAGGAGGGTCGTGCAGCCCCACAGCCTGGCTGCCTCCCCCAGGCCCTCAGGAAGGCTGCACCGACCCAGGCCCCGAAGACCAGGGCTGCACGGATTCCAGCACTTTCCTCTGCGGTTTCTCCGTTAGTGCTTTCTGGAGCCACCGCGCCCCGAAGCAGAGGCCCCAGGTCACCACGTGGGACCTGTCACTGTGAGGCTGTGGCCGGAGACCCCAGTGGACGGAAATGTCCCTGTTACTTCCCAGGGTGCGAGCAGTGATGTCTAAGAGCTGAACCGGGACAGCCGTGGGCAAGTCACCAGAGCCTGCCTTTTTAAATAAACATATGTTGTTATTGATTTCAGAGAGGAAGGGAGAGGGAGAGAGACAGGAACATCCATGATGAGAGAGAATCATGGATCAGCTGCCTCCTGCAGGCCCCCTGGGGATCGAGCCCACAACCCGGGCATGTGCCCTGACCGGGAATTGAACTGTGACCTCCTGGTTCATAGGTCGACGCTCAGCCCCTGAGCCCCGCCGGCCGGGCCCGAAACCTCCCTTTCCTCTTCTGTGGGATGGTTGTGAGGCTTAACCCCACGGCAGTCAGCGCAGCCAAGCGCACGGGGAGCCCAAGGTGCTGGCGCTGTCCTTGGTGCTGAAGTGAGGCTTGGGGGTCAGTCCTCGCGATGGCTCCCCAAGGCCTGGCGGGAGGAGCCTGCAAGCGGGTAGGGGAGACCCTGAGCCTTGCCAGAAGCCACTGCACGTGCCTTTGGGGGGCTGGGTGCCCACCATAGCAAGCCACTCGCCGGGGTCCCCATCCGTATCCTCACAGCCGCTCAGCATGGCTGAGGGTCCGGTCCAGCATGCAGGCCAGGCAGGTGTCCTGGGGAGGCTGGCTCTGGGAGGGCCTGGAGCCCCTACAAGCCCAAGAGGCACCCCTACAGCCCACGTGCTCAGCTGGTGGACTAAGGACTCAGAGTCCCCCTCTCCCCGCCTCCATCCTTGGGAAGCTGGGCTGGGAAAGACGCAAGGGGTGCAGGCTGGTGTCCAAAGCGGCCTGAACCTGGGCCAGCTTCCAAGAGGGGTGGACACGGAGGGCGGGTGGAGCAGGAGAAGGGGTACCAGACCGGCCCCACATCCCTCTGTGTGTGGCCTGCCCCTCACCTCAGTAGCCAGAGGCGCAGGAAGTGGGTCTGGTGCCGGGCCAGCCCTCCCGGGGGCACCAGGGCCCAACCCTATTGTCCAACCTTCAGGGACTCTGCTGCCTCCTGCCCACGGACTCCTCCTCCGTGGGGACCTCCCGCAGTCCACGGCCGCTGGGAGCACCCTTTCCTGTGGGGCAGGCCCTCTGACCCCAGGGTCTTCTTCTGGGGTCCCGGGGGCCCAGGCTGAGCCCTGAGCAGCATGAGTGCACGGAGCCTGGTCCCTGCTCCCCTCGTCCTTGGCCCCTTTCACCTGAGACCAGTGGTTCCAGCATGGGGCACATGCCCACAGGGGGGCAATTTGATATTTAAGGGGGGCAATTGGAGAATGAGTTTTTAACAGTGAATTTTTTGCATTTCTTATGGTTCTAGGGGCCTCATATGCAGCATATAAATATATATTGTGACATTTTTATGCATTTCAGTTCTCTATTATATGTTTTGAAACTTTACTTGCTATTTTTTCCTATCACTGCATATTTTTATTTTTTAAATAATTTCTTAGTGATTTCTTCCTCAGAACTGCCACTGTCCTTTCGTTCTTTGGTTTTTCTCTGCCATGTGCTTTGGATGCTTGTTTAGACCAAGTTCGTGGCCTTTTGGCTTCCTCCGTGTGACTAGGAGTTCGCTGTGTGAATAATGAGAATTCCCTGTCACAGGGGCACCAGGATGTTAGAGGCTGAGGCGGGGCGGTGTCAGAACAAGGCTGGACCCCTGACCTGGACCCTCTTCCCGCCGTGGCTGTGGGCCGGTCTGTGCCCACTTTTAGGCAAAAATGGGCAGAGTGTGCGGGGAGGTGGCTTTGGCCTCTGCCCACAGCCCCTCGCCTGCCAGGACCGGTGGTGGGGGGTGAAGATGGGGCAGGTGGAGCCTCTCCCATGGACCCGACCTGCTGCCTCGGCTGGCTCTGGGGGAGGGTGTGGAAGGCCCCACACACACCTGGTCAGTCTCTGACCCTCAGCCTGGCACCCCCAGGACGGGGAGGGGCAAGTCCCACCAAAGTGGACGCCAGCTCGTCCGCCACCAGCCCCAGCCCAGCCGCGCCCGGCGCCCAGCAGCGCCCACTGAAGGTTGAGTGAGGCGGCGGCGCCCAGTACCTGGGACCGGAGATGGGCGAGAGCTCGGGGTAGGCGCAGGGACTCGGCGCTAAACCGGCTCCGCGGCGCCATCGCTTCCTGCCTGGGGGACCCCGGCCCCGGGCACCGGCCACAGTCCAGGAGGGCGCCCCGTGCCCTGGGCGGTCCCAGCCCAGCCTGCGCGGGCACCCTCTCCGGGGCCACGCCTTTTCCAGCTGCTGCCGGCCCAGGCTCCCCGCTGCTGTCCCCTCCCCAGTCCCCCCATCACACACCCGCCAAACCCCGCCCCTCCACTGCCCGTGCCTCCGGCCGCCGCCCCGCCCGCCTCAGTCCCCGGTGGTGGCCGCCGCGGAACCGCGTGTGCCCGCCGGGCAGGGCCATCTGCAGCCCGCGGCGCTGACTGGCGGGGTCCCGGCGCCGGGAGCATGAGCGCAGGCTGGGCGCGCGGGGCGGCGGTGGCCCCCCGAGTGGTGCCGGCGCCCTGCGCCTCGAAGGTGGAGCTGCGGCTGAGCTGCCGGCACCTGCTGGACCGCGACCCGCTCACCAAGTCGGACCCCAGCGTGGTGCTGCTGCTGCAGGCGCAGGGCCAGTGGGTGCAGGTAGGCGGCGGGGCTGGGGGCGCAGAGACCCAGGGGCTGGAGACGCTGGCAGGGCGCAGGGCGGGGCGTCCGGGAGTTGGGGTGCACGGGGTGGGGGTGAGGTGCACGGGGTCAGGGTGGGGTGCACAGGGTCAGGGTGAGGTGCACGGGGTCGGGGTGGGTTGCACTGGGTTGGAGTGAGGTGCATGGGGTTTGGTGGGGTGCACGGGTTTGGTGGGGTACACAGGGTCAGGGTGGGGTGCATGGGTTTGGTAGGGTGCATGGGGTTTGCTGGGGTGCACAGGGTCGGGGTGGGGTCCATGGGGTTTGGTGGGGCGCACGGGCTCGGGGTGGGGTGCACGGGGTTTGGTGGGGTGCACGGGGTCGGGGTTACCAGAGCTAGAGAGTGGGCACCAGGAGCCGAGGGAGCCTGGCGGGGCTGGACTGGATGCGGCAGTGGCCGGCTGAGCTCCAGGACAGAGAGGGGGCGCTGAGTGGGGTCCCGCGGGGTCTTGAGGGCGCGGGTGGCGAGTGGGAGCAGGAGTTGGGCTGGGGTTGCGGGTCCTCTGCGCTGGGCAGCCAGGAGCTTCGCTTCGGTGCCAGGTCTTCCTCTGGCAGAGGCGCCGCCACAGGTCCGGGCAGGGAGGGGGCGCGGCTCCGGCCGGGACTGGACCCCGAGACCGGGACGTCCCTGGAGAGGGGCCCCAGCCCGTCGCCTCCACCCTGGAGCGCCTCCGGGGTGACCCGCCAGTGCAGCCGGGGGCACGGGGGGAGGGGTCGCTGGGCCGCCTTCATGCGCCCCGCAGACCTGGCTCTGGGGCATTTCCGTCTCCACGACACGGGGTTCTCCCCTGGACTCTCCGTCCTGAGGGTGGTTCCCACGCCAGGCACCCTGTCACCCCTGGCTCGGCCCTCCCTTCAGGCGAGTGGCAGCCCTGGGCGCTCCGTCCGAGCTGTACAACGCGCCTTCTAGGTCCCCATCTCACCTCAAAGGGGGAGAGCAGAGGTGCTGGGGGGGGGGACTGGTGTTGGCTGCGGGAGCCTCGGTGGGGGCCTTGGAGGGGACCCCGCTGCTGAGGGGCGAGCTCTGACCTTGTGCAGTCACACCCCTATTCCCCCTCCCCCCTCCCCCCCGCTGAGGAACCCCGAGGTCACCCACCTCAGGGGTGAAGGGCTGAAAGGCGGCTCAGCCCAGGGTCTGCCTGGCAGTAGGGGCGCTGGAGAGGGGGTGCGGGGAGGAGTCCTGTGCCCCAGCCTCCCTGCCCCCCCGCCCCATTAGCCTTTGTGGCTTGGCTGGGGCGCTGCCTAATGCAGACGCTCATTTGGGTGCAGGAGCCTGTGGGACCCCGAAGGGCCGCACAGAAACCTCCTGACAGGAGATTGTGCTGGGGGTGGGGGCGCGTTGGATGGAGGAGAGAGCTGGACCCCGGCCTCTGTGCCCCCCGCCCGAGCCCCCTGCCTGCCCAGCTGGTGCTGGGGAGAGGTCTCTGCTTTGGGTGTGCCAGCCCAGGTTCCGGGGCTCCGTCCCTAACTCAGAGAGCTGAGCCTCAGTTTCCCCATCGTGATATGGGGATAGAGCAGGCCAAGCGGGCACGAGATGAGGAGGTGCAGAGACGGGGCTGCCATGTTGGCCAGGGGTCACCTTCATTTCAGGGGGGAGGTGCCGAGGGTCCTGGTGAGCTGGGTCCTGATGGGTGGGCACAGGTTGGTGGGGGTGTCCCCAGGAGAGGGCGCCTGAGGGCCGGGGACGGGACTGGGCCCGGGGCGGGCCTGGTGGAAGCCCCCCTCTCCCCCCCCCCCACGGGCTGCTCCCGCTGCTGCAGGTGGACAGGACAGAGGTGGTCCGGAGCTGCCTGCACCCCACGTTCTCCAAGGTCTTCACACTTGACTACTACTTCGAGGAGGCGCAGAAGCTGCGGTTCGAGGTCTACGACAGTCACGGGCCCGGCAGCCTCAGCTGCCAGGACGACGACTTCCTGGGGGGCATGGAGTGCACCCTGGGGCAGGTGGGCGCCCGTCCCCGCGGGGGGGACAGGGCAGGAGAGACCCAGGAGGGCAGGGTGGCTCCTGGGCTGTCCTGAGAGCCGGCGCGATGCCCAGGGTGGCATGGGCGTGGGCACGGGCACCACCGGGTCCCTCTGGACGAGCATCCTGGCTCTGCCATCTCCACGGCTCCTCTACAAACTCCTGAGGGGTCATCCTTAAACACATGTCCCTCTAAACTGGGTCATACCTTCGTGGGGCTCAGCACTCCAAGAGCATAGAAGGGCTGCGGGCCCGTCTCCCTCCTGCCTGTCCCCAGGTCCTTACATCCGACCAGAGACGAAGCTCACAGGAGGAAACAGGCGTGCGATTTTTTCTGTGTAGTTTTAAAGCAAAGTGCATAGTAGTCTGTCCTGCAGCTGCTCTTTCACCTCCATGGCACGAGGGAGCCTTTCCACTCGGCCCACGGGCTCTCCCCATCCCTCCCTGCGGCCGAGGCCGGCCCAGCGGGCTCCTCACCCAGCCCCACCCGCAAGGGGGACAGTGTCCCCTCCCCTCCACCGTCAGTGTTAACAAGGGCTCACGCCAGGCTGTCCCGCATGGAATGCCCCCGGCGCCCTGAGGGGCACTTCTGTTTTCCTGAGGCTGATTTACATGCAGTGGGACATGGAGACCTTAAGGTCTGAGACGGATGAGTCAGGCAGCTGTGTGCACCGAGCACCCCAGATCACGCAGGCCCCCCTCCTCCGCAGGCTGCTCTAGAGCCTCGCGTCCATGAACCACAGGGGATGTTCCCATTTGTGTCCTGAGTCTTTTACACGACGTGATGTCTGTGTGACTCATCCCCTCGCTGCCTGGGCCGGAGCTGGTCTAGGGCACACCCTCTGTCACCCATTTCACAGATGAGAGGACTGAGAATTAGGAAGGACATGGTCCCGGGGAAAAGCATCAGGGCAGCATGCCTCCCACCTGCCATCACTAGCACGGAAGAGGACAGCACACACACGCACGCACACACATGCACATGTAAACATGCGTGTACAAACATGCGCTCAGGCAGGTATGCCAAAGCACTTGTATACATGCATGTGTTTGCATACATGCACATGGGGACGCATGTATGCACAAACACACATATATGTACAGACACCCCAAATGTGTGTACGTGCGCAGGCACAGGCACACGCGTGCACACACATGGGTGCAGATCCATGGACACGCACGTCTGGATGTTCACATAAACTTCAGACAACAGACACGCCCACTGAGAACCTCCTGCCTGACTCCCTCAGACGCCCTGCCATCGGGGGCGTGGCAGTCCGTGGTGGAGGAGGCGGCGGCGGGAGGCGATGGCGACCTTGAGGGCGTCCCTAGCTCTGCCTCAACCTCCTCCCAGGAAACAGGGCACTTAGAGCAAACCCCACCCCCCCCCCCCCCCCCCCCGCCCCCCCCCCCCCGCCTCAGGCCCCGCCCAGGGCCGCGTGCAGGAAGCGCTATGGCCACAGCTGCCCTTGTCCCTGGCAGGAGGCCCGGAGGGAAGCCCACCATGGGAGAGTCGGGGGGCCCGCATGAGGCCCCCACCTCACATTCCCACCTGGGCCTGGCTTCTCTCTGCTCAGAATGTTCCCGAGGGCTTGGCCGCTGCCAGCCAGGCACCCTGAGGGGCGAGTGGGGAGATCCCGGCTCCTGCCTGGACTCTCTCTCTTTGCCACGGTCGCCCAGCTCGGGCCAGACCAGAGCCGGCGTGGGGCGGGTCAGGTCAGCGCCAGGAGTGTCAGTGCCACCCTCCCGTGGCGTAGCTGAGGACCCCCGGGTCTTCGGCCAGTGAAGGGTGGGGTCCCCCCACACACACCCCCGCAGGAAGTCGCTGGTCCTCCCAGCCGTGGGGGGAGGCCATCACTTACCAGCTGAGGACACCCAGCCGCCTGAGGCTGCCTGGTGAGCAGGCGGCCTGGCTGCATATGGCATCCCTGTACCCCTCACTGGCCCAGGGCAGGGCCCATACGCTGGTGGGGGAGGCAGCCAGGGCGGAGGAGGAAGCGGGGGGAGGGGGCGGGCGGGCGCGAGACCCCAGGGGCAGGAGGGTGGAGAGCCGCTGCGGCTCCCGTCTGACTCCTGCCCCTGCACCACCCGCTCCGCCAGCACAGGCCCAGGGCTAACTCGCAGCAACACGTGACCCTGGGCAGCCTCTCTGAGCCTCAGTTTCCCCTCTGATACATGGGCGATTGGGGGGGGGGGGTGAGGAGGGGAACGAGGGCGTCTGGCAGCGCAGGTGGCGGCCACAGAGGGACAGAGAGGCATCAGGCGGCCGAGTGTCGGGGAGAGGGCCGTGGGCGGTGGCTGCTGGGCCACCGGGGTGAGGAGACAGGGAGACGGGGTCCCCGGGGGGCAGGGGCCAACCCCTCCCTGACCTTCCTGACCCCCAGATTGTGGCCCAGAAGAAGGTGACCCGACCGCTGCTGCTGAAGTTCGGCCGGAACGCGGGCAAGTCCACCATCACGGTGAGGCCGCCCCCTTCCTGCCCGCCGCCCTTCAGACCTGTGCCCGCCCTCGCCACCGTGACTCCGCCCTCACCTGGCTCTGAGGGTCCTGTGGGGAAGATGAGAGCGAGGCCGAGGCCAGGGCTGCACTGCGGACGGGGTGGGGGACTGGGTAGTCCTCTGAGCGGCCGCAGTCAGTCGGGAAGGGGGGCGACCTCGTCTGCCCAGCCAGCACAGCTGTGGCCTCGCCCGCAGGTGGTAGCTGAGGACATCTCCACCAACAACGGGTACGTCGAGCTCTCCTTCCGGGCCCAGAAGCTGGACGACAAGGTGAGTGTGGGGGGGCCACCTGAGGCTGGGCTGCAGGGGTGAGGGGACCCCAGCCTCCGCCCCTCGGCTGAGGCCCAGGACAGACTGGCTTCATGGACACAGGGGTCCCCTGAGCAGCCCCCGGAGTCCCGGGAGCAGGTGGCGTTGGCTGGAGGTGTGCAGCGGAGGCCAGAGTCACAGCCAGGCTGCTGGGGGCCAGCAGGGCTCTAGCCCAGTGGCTCCCGCGTGGGGCACACGCCCTCAGGGGGCAGTTTGATCTTTAAGGGGGGCAATCCGAGAATGACTTATTCACAGTGAATGTTTTGCATTCCTTATGGTTCTAGGGGCCTCCTAGACAGCCCATGAATATATGTTGCGACATGTTTACGCATCTCAGTTCTCGATTATGTTTTGAAACTTTATTTGCTATTTTTTCCTATGGCTTCGTATGGTTATTTTTTAACAATTTCTTAGTGATTTCCTCCTCAGAACTTCCACTGTCCTTTCGTTCTTTGATTTCTCTCTTTCATGGCTGCCATGTGCTTTGGAAGCTTCGTTAGACCGAGTTAGTGACCAGGAGTTCCCTTTTCGTATAAGAATTCCATCGGGGGGTGGGGGTCTGGGGGGGTCAGGATGTTAGCGATGCTGAGGTGGGTGTGGCCAAAACAAGGTTGGGAACCGCTGCTCAGAGGGCAGTGAAGGCCACGGGCATCGGGCACACTCCCCGACGGGCTGTGCCCTCCTCAGAGGCTGAGGAGACTGAGGTCTGGGGACGAGGCAGAGAGGGCTGGGCTGGCCGCGCCCACACCCTGCTCCCCCCCCCCAGGACGTCTTCAGCAAGTCGGACCCCTTCCTGGAGCTGTACCGGGTCAACGATGACCAGAGCGAGCAGCTGGTGTACCGGACGGAGGTGAGGGCCCTGGCCCCGCGGCCTGCCCGCCGCGCCCACGTCCCCTGCAGTCCCGCAGGCACGGGGGTGAAAGGACAGCTGACCCGTCACTCCCTGCGTCCCCCGAACCCCAACACCCTCCATCCCCTGTGAAGAGGGGCCTGGCGGGTGGGTGTGGAGCCGGTGAGAGAATGTAGGGGCTGTTCTGCTGTCAGGCCCGGCAGGTGACCGTGGTGAGGGGCATTTTCTTTCTAGATAAATTAATTGCAGCTTTTTTAAGTTATTGATTTCAGAGAGGAAGGGAGAGGGAGAGAGAGAGAGAAACATCCACGATGAGAGAGAATCATGGGTCGGCTGCCTCTTGCACGCCCCACACTGGGATCGAGCCCACACCCTGGCCTGTGCCCTGACGGGAATTCGAACCCTGACCTCCTGGGTCATAGGTCGGTGCTCACCCCCTGAGCCGCCGGCTGGGCTATTCCAGCTTCTAGAATAGAGTCTGTTCAGGAGGAGGAGCAGGTGGTCCAGGGACCTGGCGGAGGTGATGGAGGTGTTTCCCAGTGGGCTGGGGTCCCAGGCTCCTCTCCAGCCTGAGGCTCACCCCCTCCCGGCCCCCAGGTGGTGAAGGACAACCTGAGCCCCGTGTGGGAGCCCTTCAAGGTGTCGCTGAACTCCCTGTGCAGCTGCGAGGAGACCCGGCCGCTGAAGGTGGAGACGTCCTGGGGGCGGGGCGGGGGGGGTGGACGCCAGGGGGGCCCCGGGGCAAGTGCTGAGGGGCCCGGGTCCGCAGTGCCTGGTCTGGGACCACGACTCCCGCGGGAAACACGACTTCATCGGAGAGTTCGCCACCACCTTCGCCGAGATGCAGACGGCCTTTGCCGAGGACCAGGTGAGGCTCCGGGAACCGGCCTGACCCGGCTTCAAGGGGCCGCTGGGAGCAGCAGCCCCAGGACGCAGGTGGGCGCGGCCCTGCACCCCGGCTCCTCCAGGAAAGACCACAGGGACTCGCTGCACCTGCCGGGCGCACGGGCAGGGACAGTTGGGAAACCCTGGCCAGGGCTCGGCGTTCAGGCCCCCAGCCCTCAAGGTGGGTGTTGGCACTGGCACTCTTGGGGGGGGGTCTCTGCCCGTCCCTGTGCCCAGGCCCAGTGGGAATGCGTGAACGCCAAGTACAAGCAGAAGAAGCGCCATTACAGGAACTCGGGGCTGGTCATTCTGGCCGACCTGAAGGTGAGCGCAGCCCCTGCCCGCAGCCCCGCCCACCTGCCAGGCAAGGGCACCCCACCCCCGAAGCCCCCCACTATTGATGGACCCGCAGGGCCTTGGCGATGCCTGGTGCTCCCCAATAGGTGGGAGAGGAAGTGGGTGGGCGGAGGGGAGGGCGAGGCAGAAGGAAAACAGGAGCAGGTGCTGGGCACTCAGGCAGCCGAGGGCCTGAGGGAGGGGGGACCGTCCTGCCCGCCCGCCCGCAGCCCCAGCCTCAGGTTCCCGCGGGCGGGTGTCCTGGGCAGGCCCTGCTGACCCCGCTGCCTGGAAGTTCTCCAGGGTCTACTCCTTCCTGGACTACATCATGGGCGGCTGCCAGATCCACTTCACGGTGCGTCCACAGGACCCCAGGGCCCCTCCCCCCAGCCGGCCAGGTGCACCCACCGGGCAGGAGTCAGCACCCAGGCCCGCAGCTCCCGGGGGCCCTCCCCACCCGGACGCGGCTCAGAGTTGGTCTAGCTCCCAGGACGGACATGGGGACAGCCAGGCCCTCCTGCTGGGTCTGGGGACCCCGTCCTGGGAGCTCAGTTCTTTCTGGGCCTTTTCCTGGGGTCCCCTCGCTGTGCAGGGGAACCGGGCACCTCGGGGGGGACATGGCCAGGACTCACCCCCAATAGGAACAGATGAAATACGTGAGGAGAGGACACAGGGCCATTGACTCAAAGGGACACAGGGGTCACAGCAGGCGGGTGTGGCCCTGGAGAGCCCAGTCCCCTCCCCCCCGTCTCCACCCCATGGCTTCACTGAACGAACCAGACTCACCTGAGGGTGTGACTGATCCCACGCATGGGGCCCGCGGCAGAGCTGGCTCCTGGAAAGGGTGGTGGGTGGTAGGGAGGGTGGCAGCTGAGAGGTGCCCGGTCCTGGCCCAGCCCTTCCCACTGCCTGGCCCACGAGTCCAGCCAAGGGGGTGGCTCTGGGTGCAGGAGGCACCGACCGGTGTCCCCATAGGGCCCCTCCCAAGGCCCCGGGAGCCGCTCTGAGATACCCCTGGCTGAGTGGCTCCCCGAGCCTCAGTTTCCCGCACCTGTCAAATGAGGGGTGCAGGAGCCATCCCAGGCCAGGAGGGAAGGGGCTCCGGGATCACCGTGGGGTCCCCACAGGTGGCCATCGACTTCACAGCCTCCAATGGGGACCCCCGGAACAGCTGCTCCCTGCACTACATCAGCCCCTTCCAGCCCAACGAGTACCTGCAGGCCCTGGTGGCCGTGGGCGAGGTCTGCCAGGACTACGACAGGTGCGTCCTCCGGCCCCGGCTCCAGCTCCAGCTCCGGCCTGGGCCAGGGGATGGGCATCACCGACGTGTCCACCCATCAGAGCAGCCGCCCAGGCCAGGCGTGCACGGGCCACGGTCGGTGACAGCCGGGTGGCTGGCTCCACGTTGCGGATCCAGGTGGAGCGGGTCAGAGACCGTGTGTCCACGTGGGGCTGGCCTTCACCACAGGGTCCCCTTCACCCTTCACACGGACACCCGGGCGGGGCCTGCGTCCACTTCGCAGAGCAGTAAACTGAGGCCATGGAGGGGCAAGCTCCTGTCTGGGGGTCCAGGGGGCAGGAAGCCAACCTTCACTGGGCCGGTGCCTCCCCAGCAGGTGCCAGGCCTGAGCAGCAGTGGGAGGAGGTGGCCCAGTGGCTCTGTCCCCACCTGCCTGCACCATGCCCCGTTCCCCCAGGTTGGCTCAGGGCCTGGCTGGGGTGGGAAGGGGTGGCACAGAGTTCTGTGAGCCCCACTCGCGCCGGGAACCAGAAGCCCTGTGTGACGGGCCCCCTCTCTTCCAGCGACAAGAGGTTCTCCGCTCTGGGGTTTGGAGCCCGGATTCCCCCCAAGTTTGAGGTAGGACAGCCTGGGGCCGGGCCCTGGGCGTCTCCCTCTGTGCCCCTCCTGGCAGAGGGACCCTGGCCATGCTGGGTCCTGGGACCCCTGGCTACTGCCCCTCCTTCGGGCACCGGGGACCCTGGCCTCCCAGCCAGAGGGGCTGACCTTTGACCTCTGGAGGCAGGAGAGGGGGGACTTTAGCCTGGGATCTTCTAGTTACAAATAACAGTCCGACTGGCTTAGGCAGAAAACCATGCGGGGAGGGGGGGGGGGGGCGGGGGGGGGGCGGGGCTGGTATTTTTTTTAATATATTTTTATTGATGTCAGAGAGGAAGGGAGAGGGAGGGAGAGACAGAAGCATCAGTGATGAGAGAGAGTCACGGATCAGCTGCCTCCTGCACGCCCCACACTGGGGGTGGAGCCTGGGAATCGAACTGTGACCTCCTGGTTCCTAGGTCGATGCTCACCCACTGACCTCGCCGGCCGGGCTCCCCTGGTACAATTACAAATGCAAATCGGGGACTTGGGTCCCGCTCGATCCAGGGGCTGGAGTGATGCCAGGGCCTGTCTGTCTGTCTGTCTGTCTCCCAGTCGGTGAGGCCTCGGGGCCCGGGGAGGGCAGGCGGCTGACAGGTCCCTTTTGTGTCCACTCAGGTGTCCCATGACTTTGCCATTAACTTCAACCCTGAGGACGACGAGTGTGAAGGTAGGAGCCTGAGGGGCGGCGGGGGCGGCGGGGGGGCGGGGGGGGGGGAGGGCAGCCGAGGGCAGGACTCACCGCCTCCCCCGCAGGAATCCAGGGCGTGGTGGAGGCCTACCGGAACTGCCTGCCCCGAGTCCAGCTCTACGGCCCCACCAACGTGGCGCCCATCATCTCCAAGGTGGCCCGCGTGGCTGCCGCCGAGGAGCGCACCGGGGAGGCCTCTGTAGGTACCGGGGGCAGCGGCACCATGGGGACCGGGTGCGTGAGGAGGTGTGGGTGCTGTGGGGAGACAAGGACCGGCCGTGGGGGGCGGGGCGGAAGCCAGTGCAAAGGTCGTCTTCTTTTTTAAAAAAATATATTATTTATTGATGTCAGAGAGGAAGGGAGAGAGAGAAACATCCATGATGAGAGAGAACCATGGACCGGCTGCCTCCTGCACGCCCCCCACTGGGGATGGAGCCCGCAACCAGGGCCTGTGCCCTGAGGGGAATGGAACCCTGACCTCCTGGTTCACAGGTCAATGCTCAGCTGCTGAGCCACGCTGGCCGGGCTTGTCTCTTTTCTGGACCGTTTGAGAGCTGGCTCACCTCCTGGCCGCCCCCCAAAATTCTCCATGCACAGCTAGCTGCTAAGTTCCCTCGCCCCAGGAGGGCCCCTCTCTGAATTCCGTTCCTTGGGTCTCGGGGTCTCTCCACCGGGATCTGCAGATCCCTGCTCTCTGGCCTCAGACCTGGGTTCAAGTCGGGGCTCCACTGCCTCAGCCCCCCATCTGCAAGGGGGTCACCCCGGCAGCACTGGGGGTGATGACCGGTGACATGGGCACTGTGTGTGTGCAGGGCACAGGCTCGGACTCACTGGTTCTCGTGTACATATTGTGCTTCAGCAAAAACACCCCAGAAAACCTGAAACCACGGCCAAGGGGTGTCTGCAGTCCCCCCCAGGCCATCTGGGGGGGCTTCCAGGGGGGCTGCCTCCCTGGGTCAAGCCCCCAGGCCCACCAACCAATCTCCCGCGTCCCCAGCGATACTACATCCTGCTGATCCTGACGGACGGCGTGGTGACCGACATGGCAGACACACGGGAGGCCATCGTGCGGGCCTCCCACCTGCCCATGTCCATCATCATCGTGGGCGTGGGCAACGCCGACTTCACGGACATGCAGGTCCTGGACGGGGACGACGGCGTCCTGCGCTCCCCGCGGGGCGAGCCCGCGCTCCGGGACATCGTCCAGTTCGTGCCTTTCCGGGAGCTCAAGAACGTGAGTGTCAGGACAGGCTGGGGGTCCAGGGCCCGGCCCGGAGGCGCCCCCGTCCCAGCGACGGCGGCAGGTCCCACTCAGGCGGGGCCGGGAGAGGCAGGCGCCGCGTGGACGGAGCCCGAGCCTGTCTCCTCTCCCCGCCCTGAGTGGGACCTGAACCGCTTTCAATCACCTGAAAACCTGTCTGTTACGAAAATGTCAGAGCTACACCTAGGGGGTCCCTGGGCGTAGCCGTGAGTCCACGTGAGCTCACACACAATCCGCCAGGTGGACCAGGCGGCCTCCCTGGGGAGCGGGGGCTGGGGGGCGGGGGGCGGGCAGTGGCTGGGCCGTGAGGCTGTCTCGCCTGCCTGTCTGCCTGGGCCACCTTCTCTCCTCTCGGTGGCTGGCGAGCTGGAGCCCACTGACCCAGGGGAGGGGTCACGTGACCATATATGTCACTCAGGGCAGGTGCCCCGAGCCCATCAGCTGCCACTTGAGGTGTCGGGCACCACAGCCTCCTCTTTCAGGGTCTACCTGCTTATCGGAGGCTCACCTGGCCACCAGGTGAATCCTGACTGTGGTCCCCTCAGCGGCTCCCACACCAGGCGGCAGGCAGGGCTCAGGAGGGTGAGGCTGGGGGCCGAGGACCAGGAAGGCCCTGTGAGCAGGTGTCCCCCCCGCAGGCCCCCCCCACGGCGCTGGCCAGGTGCGTGCTGGCTGAGGTGCCCAAGCAGGTGGTGGAGTATTACAGCCACAAGGAGCTGCCGCCTCCAGGCCTCGGCGCCCCATGAGGACCCCAGAGAGGGGGTGCGGCCGGGGTGCCTCCTGTCCCCAGCACCCTTGGGGTCCCTTAAACTCCCCCTGACTTCCCAGAAGCCTCCTGTCCCCCAACCGCCCAGGCCCACTCATCCCCTGGGGCCCCCGAGGTTGAAGAATGAACAAGCCCAGGCCAGAGGAGACCCAGAAACAGAAGCAGAAGGGGTGGGGGTCTGGCGGTAGCCCCCACACCCGGCCCGGCCCAGGAGGGGCTGGGGGAGTCCCGGTGCATCTGATGTTCCTGGGGAGGGGCCAGCAGGCAGCTCCCGTCACAGAGAAAACGGTGCCCAGGCCCCGATGGTCAGCCCTGCCCCCTGTGCCCCTTTCCTGCCCCTGCTGTGAGGGCCCTGCCTCAGCACCCAGCTGGGCTCAGGTGCAATAAAGCGTCGCCTCTTCCTGGCAGCAGTTTGTGCATTTACTGCCCCCGTCCCCATCCACCCCACCCCTGCAGCCGAGACTGCCCCCCAAAGGAGGGGTGGGGCAGGGAGGACAGCGCCTTCGGCCCTCACTCTGGGACACGGAATCTTCCCGACTCAGGCTCACTGGGCCCTGCCTGGACTGTACGAAGGGCCCTCCCAGGAATGCAAGGGTGTCAGGAGGCTGCACCCCGGGGAGAGCCCGAGGGTGCAATGGCTGCCCAACCTCTGAGTGACCCCCTTCCCCAGGTGGGAAGGGGCTGCCAGGCAGGGCTTCCATGACTTCAGCCTGCACTTGGCTCTATGGGGACCTACTGCGCGCTGCAGGCTCTGCTCTGGAAAGGTGGGGGAGGGGAGGGACTCCGCCAACCAGAGCCTCCCAGCCCGTGGGGGTGGATTCCAATCAAGATTTCCCCTGAAATTATCTTGTCTGGGAGAAACAAACTGTCCACCTCCCGTCCACCCGTCCACCCACCCATCTATCCACCACCCACCCATTTATCCATCATCTACCATCCATCCATCAATCTATCCATCCATCCATCCATCCATCACCCCTCCACCCATCACCCCTCCATCCATCACCCCTCCATCCATTCATCCCCCTACCCCTCTCTCCCTCCCTCCATCCATCCATCACCCCTCCATCCATCACCCCTCCATCCATCACCCCTCCATCCATTCATCCCCCTACCCCTCTCTCCCTCACTCCCTCCATCCATCCATCCATCCATCTACTCTGGGAGCCTATTTTTAGGTCCTGATTCATCTCCTGTTAAGCAGGGATAATGGGCATTGCCATGGTAACCTGGCTACGCTGCATTTCGGAAGGGCGATGTGGGTCTGTTTGGCAGGGAGAGGACAGCAGAGAGGCCGCTTCACCTCGCACGTGTGGGAGGTGCGGGGGGGGGGGGTCTCAGGTGGGAGGGCAGGTGTCAGCCTGGCCTGGCCCAGACGCTGAGGCCGGCATCACGGCACTTTGGTCTCAGCAGCAGCAACGTCCGGACAGGTCCTGGGCTCCACTCGGGTCAGAGCTACGAGGTCGGTCAGCTGAAAACTGGGGGAGGCAGAGCGCACAGAGGGGTCAGCTGAGAAGAGTGGGGGGCAGCAGTGACCCAGGGGGCAGCCCTCGGGCAGGCCAGGGAGCCCTAAGAACTGGGTGTGGAGGGAGTTCCTTCCCAGAGCTGTGGCCTCAGGGGGGTGTAGCCACTCTCAGGACCCAACAAGCAGGCGGAGGGCGGAGGTTAAAACCCCAGACAGCAGCCAGGGGCAGTCCACAGAGGACGCCCCACCACCACCCTGCAGCCGGGACCGTGGAGGGCGGCCGGGGCAGGGGCCACGGCCTGGCCATAGGCAGGTGGGCTGGGCATGTGCAGGTGTGTGAGAGGCGGCTGGCGGGAGGTGGGGCCGTGAGGACGCCCAGCCTGCTCTGCCGGAGTCACATAAAACGATAAATGTTACAGCCCCTGGGTGGGCAGGGTGCCCACCTCCTCTTAACAGCGGCCCAGTTTTCAGGGGACCCGCCATCGCCTCTCAGGTCCATGTAATTCATGGGCCCCCTGGACCCAGGCCTGGCCAATCAGAGAGCATACTGTCCCCTGGCCACACTGATTGGCTCAGAGTGGTCATGTGACCTGCGCTGGCCAATGAGACTCGGTCCTGGGACTTTTGTTGACCTTTAATTTTTCCTCCGGTTGCTGAGCTGGTGGGTTGGGAGCAGGAGCCTTGGTGACCACAGCCACTCAGGCCAGGCCCTCCCGAGAATGAAGCCACGTGGGGGGAAGCGGACCAGAGAGAAAGGGCCCCCAAATCCAGCTCCTGAGCCAGGACTCTCCTGTGAAGGGAGCCGTGAGCTCCCTTTCACTGGGGGTGGGTTTCGGTCTGAGCTTCCTTCCTCGCCTGTCACACGGGGTCCGGCAGCTTTCAATCATGGGCCCCGAAGCCTTGGCCGCCCCTCCCACAGAGGGCTGGGGTGAACGTTCCTTCTCCTGAATCCAGGCCGGCGTGGGTCCTGTGGGACCTCAAGGCTTGGTCATGAAAGGCCACTGCCCCCTGCCCACTGGAGACACCGGCTCTTGGCACCCAGGCCGAGCTGCCGGGAGGCCCAAGCAGCCGGGGAGGGGGCACTGAGGCCCCACCGACAGCCAGCACCCACTCCTGGCTGCAGGAGTGCGCCACCCTGACCTCCAGCCCGCTGACCCTTCCCGGAACCTCAGAGAGACTGAGCCAGAACCACCAGCTGGTCCCTCCTGTGCTCCCGAGGCCACCATGCTCGCTGTGCTTGACGCCAGCACATTTCCATGTGACTTTTTAAAAAAAAATATGTTTTGATTAATTTCAGAGAGGAAGGGAGAGGGAGATAGAAACATCCATGATGAGCAAGAATCATGGACCAGCTGCCTCCTGCACGCCCTACACTGAGGATCAAGCCCACAACCCGGGCCTGTGCCCTGACGGGGAATCACACCATGACCTCCTGGTTCCTAGGTCGCCGCTCAGCCACGGAGCCACGCGGCCGGGCTGGTGTGACTTTTGCACAGCAGCAGGCGACTGATACGCCCTCCGCACAGGGGTCTTGCGAGGACTGGGCCGGGGAGTGGGGGGTGCGCGGGGCCTGCTTGGTCGATAAAGATCCCTTTTACAAAGCGAGGCTTCTCGCCTGTTCCGCGGGGAGATCGTGCCAAAGCTCCGTCTCTGACTGTGGAGGTGCCCCCTCTGCGGGGGAGCAGGGACTCGGGGTCCACGTCCCACCCCCGGGCCCCCTGCCGTCCTCAGCGTCAGCCGTGGGCTGGAGGGAGCGGGAACAGGGGCAGCTCGGCACCAAGGCTGTTGTTCTGCTGCTGCCGAGAGGAAATTGTGACTAAGTGCCTGTAATTGGTGCGGGGGCGCAGGCTGCCAGACGCAGGGCCCTGGCCCGGCACGGGGAGGGGGGGCCCTCCTGGCCCCAGCCCCCCTCCCTGCGTTGGTGTAGGCCCTGAGGGGGGGCAGCAGGACCCTTGCCCGAGGGGACCCACACTCATCCCCATCCAGGTCTGCAGCGCCCCCCGACCCCCCTCGTGCAAGCACGTCTCCTGCCGGGGCGCTTGCCAAGCTTGGCTCAAACATCAGTGCGCGGAATTCTCACAACAAGCCCGTGTGGCCGCCCACTGTGAGCACATTTCACTCAGAAACTGGAGCCGCCTGGCCCGGGATCCAGCTGGGAGGGCGGGCGGCGTCTGGGGCTGGTTCCCAGGACTCAGGCCCAGAGCCTGCAAGCCGTAGCCATGCGCGCGCGTGTGTGTGTGCACGTGGGGTGGGGTAGGGGTGGGGGTCCTTGTCCTCAGCGGCTTTACTGAAGCCTGTTTCCTACCCCCCCCCCCGCCCCCCGGGGCGGCCACAATCACCCCCCTTCGCATGGCTCACATCCAGATCCTGGGAGTCGGCCAGACCACGGTGTCCTGCCCAGGGTGCACAGCTCCGGGGGCCGCTCCGTGTTGACGTTCCTGAGAACATGAGATGCACATGTCTGACCAGCCAAGGCTTCCAGCCCTGGGAGCAGTCGTCCTGGGGGAGGGACGGGCTCCAGGAGGCAGGGACACGGGCCCCCCCCACCCCCCTCGCTCCAGGCCCACGGGACTCAGGGCCTTGGCCTGGGAAACTGGCCAGAGCCCACGTCTGCCCAATGCCCGCATCAGACCCAGCAGCCCGCCCAGAGCACGCAGTCCGGGGTGAGGAGCGATGGAGGGTGAGCCCATCTTCCGCTGCCTCCTCCTGGGACTGGAGGCCCTGACACCCCACTTTGCTTTAAGAAGGAGGAACCCTCAGGCAGGACCCTCTGCCCAGGTGCCCAGCCCGGGGGGCTCAGGTGTGAGCTGACCCTCGGCCCAGCTTTAGCTCACCCTCCAGAGCCGGTGGGACCTTCTTCAGGGAGTGGGGCACAGGGTGGGAGGGCATCACTGGGTGTGGTCCGGGCTGTGACCTCTCCCCACAGCCAGGGCCCACAGGACAGCACCCAGGGCCCCAGGGACAGCACCCAGGGCCCCCAGGGACAGCACCCAGGGCACCACAGGACAGCACCCAGGGCCCCAGGGACAGCACCCAGGGCCCCCAGGGACAGCACCCAGGGCCCTCAGGGACAGTACTCAGGGTCCTAGGGACAGCACCCAGGGCCCCCAGGGACAGCACCCAGACACAGAAGAGTCTCCAGCGGAGACTGACACCCAGTAGGTGAGGGTGGGTGAGGGGGCAGCCAGGACCCCCAGTGCATGCTGGGTAAGCCTGGCCAGCCCCTTTGGAGAGCTGCTGGCAGACCTGGTCCAGACCCAGGGGTGCCTGATGCCTGCCCAACACCCGCACACAAGTGCATGCAGGCGGCTGGTGCCACTGAGGCCACGGGCAGGGAGCCCTGTTCTCTCTCTGTCTTCCCTCCTCCCTGGTCCCGGGGTCGTTTTCGTTTTTGTTTTTTAAATATTTTTATTGGTTTCAGAGAAGGGAGAGGGAGAGGGAGAAACATCAAGGATGAGAGAGAATCATCATTACCTGCCTCCTGCACGCCTCCTCCTGGGAATGGAGCCCACAGCCTGGGC